AAAAAAAAGTAAAAAATTAAAACCAAATTTTTCCTTCTCATCAATATGTTTAAGTTTTTTGCATACCGCAAAATGCACAACAGCTGCTGCTGTCCAACAAACACTATTGTCTGCCTTTTTGCAAGTGCAAATGTATTGAAAGTACAAGTACGCGAAAGGTAGAACAGAAAAATAAGAAGCGGCATATATGTATATATATGTATGTATGTACATATGTAACAACTTCAAAGAATTTATATTTTACAGTATTATTTGGCGGTTTGCTTTGCTTCCAACATATTTGTAGGCGCGCTCATGAGCAGATGTGCAAACAAAACCAAAAAATAATAATAATAAAACGAAATAATCATAAATTACAAGTGGAAATACGCTAATTATAGCAATAGCTACTTAAATACATACAATAAAACTCATAATRCAGAGCAATTTACCTGGCGCATCCATGCCTGGATAGCAAACACATTTTGCAGGATGGATTTCGAAGAGTAGAAATAAATCCGCCAAAAGTACAACTAAATTCAGCTTCATTGAACTGTGAAAAATAGAAAATGCAAATATTAAGAACAAGTTGCACACTTGTAAATGCTAAAAATATGTTTGTAGGCACGCACTTGCGCATGTATGTAACATCTTCGGGCATCATATGGAACACATTATATGGCAAATGTTTTTGACAAAAATTGCTGACTAAAGACACATTGTGTACGGAATCCTCGACGGCTGGTAAGTAATTAACACGCACTAACGTCCATGGTAGCGCTTTCGGGCAATAATACGATATAAATAAAGCTAAACAAACGCCATCACATAAGCTCTGATAATCGTGCACTGCTGGAATGTTGGGCACTTGTAGGCGCACGCCCTGTGAATGCAGAAAAAAAAATAGTTTAACATTTTTTACAACTTTAAAATGATATGTGCTTGTTACATTTTCATCCGTTGCGCCCAATTCGACGTCGCGGGCGATGCGCTTCTTCAGCGAAGTACACGCATGTGAGATCCACAGCAACARCAGCTGATCGAAGGGCTGATCGTGTGGTAACGTTTGGCCATTATTACCCGTAATTCTGTAGGAAAGTTAAAAAAAAAAWWTTTAATTGCTATTTATTTGTCAATTTTTTGTGGCGCTCACCTGGCAACAGCGTTAGCTATGCGATCGCCCGAAGTTATTTCCTTTGCGTACAAAGTCATTAGTGATTGAATCACGGACATGTGGGCATTCTGAAAGATAAATAGAACAATGATTAAATAAAAATATTAAAAAATAAAAATAATAAAAATTTATACACAAAAAATAACTTTTCAAATACAATTGAATAAAAATWTTTGATACTTACTATCCTCAAAGGATTTGTTTGTATCAAAACCGTTTCGGTTAATGGCATCTCTGGTGACTCTGCGACTGGCACACCCTTACGTGACAATGTCTGCAATATGGACCAATGATTCAGACTTTGATAATTCGGATCCGAATATATGTTGGATAATGTCTGGCAGTATAGCGTTGCATTTCCCATTTCCACAACAATTTGCGGTTTCAGCCGTTCCTGATTGTCATGATCGGTATAGAAGGGTTCACGCAAATTGTCTGGAATATTATTGTTGAAGGCTTTGGCGAGCAGCCACTTTACGGAAGCACGATGATGTGCCTAAATAAAGGGAAAAGGGATAAAAAAAAAATTTCAGTTATTTAGTTTAGGATGTAAAGTATAAATATGATATTTTCTGCTATAAAGAACACATTTTGCTACTTTTATAATTGATTATTATAATAGTTAATAACGTGTACAGCAAGTTCAACGCAACCTCTTTTGACCACCACTTCGCGACATTTTCATCGGGCGTTAGGCACTACGTATAACCAATGTTGACATAATCAACAGCATAAGCGACAATCCGACCCGGCAGCAAAAAGGTATTTATATGCTAATAACAACAACAGCATTTTTTCTTTTTGTATACTCTGTAGAGGTAATCAAAGCACAACAGCGACTTTTTGGCATGCCATAGCTGTGCTCACTTTTTGGGTGTAACCAAATCGACTGATGGCTATCAGCAGCGTAGGTAAAATAAAAAGCTAACGCGATTGTGAAGACATTACACTTTTCTTTTAATCGTAATTTTTTTTTCTTTTCTGTTTTTGCATATGCAAAATTTTCCGTATAATAYATTGACTCACCTAATTTTTGTTATTGGATTGTTGCAAATTCGCATATTAATTTTGCTGTGGCTAGCAATTTGATTTGTAACCAAATTGGGRAAAAAAAATATTTGTTGTTACAGTATTTAAAATGACAACATGCCTGGGTTATTCTCTTTTTTACATTTTAGAAGCACTTAACCTGTTAAAAAGAACAGCAAAATAAAAACCTATCATACAAAAAAAGGTAAAAACAATAACRATTTAAAGGTAAAAACGTAAAAAACTGGTCGCTGACATATTTATTGAGTAGGTGGTTCGCCAGGTGCTTGGCTCATAACGCTTACGGCAAAGCGTACAACTTGCAAAGCTTGTATGTAAGTAAGTAGGTGGACAGAGAATGAACCCGACAGAGGCACATATTTATATTTAACATATAACCATCATTTAACACATGTATATACACATAGAKTTATATCCATAGGTGAGTTAATATTAGAGCAGCTATCAATTGTTGGTCTTTACGCTTTCGATTTCCTAATTGCTTTTAGATTTTCTTAAATGCATCTAATAGCGTACTGCCAGCAGGCGTACACAAGTTGCAACAATTAAAATCAACTTGAAAAACTGCTATCTACAATGTTAGCGTGCATACTCGCCCATATCTACAACAAGTGTATGTACTACATGAATGAATGAATGTGGAGTACATGAGCAGGCTATGTAGCATACAATGCGCTTCCACTACACAGCTTCTACTAGACGAAAAAGCGAAAAATGCTGTTTGACATTTGATGATATCATATTTTTTGCCTTTATGCTGCCGCTACGAAATTCGTGGGTAAACAAGTGCYAACGACTGGGCTGGCTGGCATACTGGTGTTTTGCATGCATATTGAGCACACGAACATTATATATTAATATGTATTTAAACACTCCTCTATTGAAATCTTTTCAGTTTTATGTTGTTGTGCTCGTTGCAAGTGTGTCGCTTAAAAATAGATAAGAACGCACACATAATACATACCTGTCTAGTTTCTTGCTGTCCAGCATCCATCATGCATCAATTATATCCAGATCAGACGTATATCTTCTCCCAAATGACCAGCAGCGGGTCGTTTCAAGAACCGATCCGTCCGATAGTCGTCGTCGTTGTCGTTGTGGTCGTGGTCGTCGCAATCGTCTTTCGCTCAGCCACGAGCACCGTAATCCACAAGAAGACAACAGCAATCAATCCTTCGATTCATGCAACAAAAAAAAAAAAGAAGAAAGCAAAAAGCCTTCCTAAACGAAACTTTCTTTCACACGTATCTCATAGACACACAAATATTTCAACAACAAATTCCACATTAATAAGCATAAGCTAGTGCAGTTTTGGAAAGGTGCTACGCCTGCTTAAAACTTGTGAATCACTCTCTGGCGTGTTTTTTGCTTCTTTTTTTATTTTTTTGTTATAATGCTTTAAGCCCCACCGGCGTGGGGGTTTGCTAGTAAAGATTAAACGCACCAGTGCATCAGCTGTTGCGACTTATCGATATTTAGCCACATAACACGCACTTCCCCAACACAATTACTTCAAATTCAATTAATTATATAAACAATTAACAATTTGTTTGGCTTTTCTTTCACTTYGCCGATGTTATTTGGATAAATACAAAGATTATCTCATTATTAAATTCTTTGCTCAAAAATTTTCTTCAACTTTACACCAAAACGACAAAAAAAAAAAAACAACACTTGTCTGCTCGTTCGCACGCACACTTGCTACATGCAGCCGCAAGCAGTGGCTTTCTCTATCTCGCACATATGTTTAACACGCGAGCCACGACCCTAACCGAAAATGGGAGTCGCGTAGTGAAATTTTTATTTGGCCGCTCGAGAAATCTGCTATTTTTCATTTAAATATTACAATTTCACTMTGTATTCAAATCGATTTCTTTACCGTCTGCCTGCTAATACCAATTCARCATTTACTCACAATTAATTTGCAATCAAATTTTAACAATTTTCGTTTAGCTTTCGCAGCTCAATAACAGCAGAGCGAATTTGATCAAGTGAAAGAAAACGTCATCTGTGTTGTTGCCAGATGTGTCGAAAAGAGAAAATGAAAAATGCCTRAAATGACAGCCGCCGTAATGACATTACGTTGCGCTACTTTTGATAACGAAACGAAAGTTACGTATGAGAAAATTCTGTTGGTAGTTGAAATGAAATTATACAAGGAAATGCAATTGTTGGTTGTGAATTGAATATTTAATGAATATCGTGCATGTATACCARATATACATATATACCATATTTCTGCCAATATATTATATAACTATATTTTTTTGTTTGAATATTTTTGCTTCACTGTAATGGTTTGAGACATAAGTATACATATGTATATGTATTTGTTTAGCATTGTCTTTCGGGTAGCGCTTTGGAATTTGGGTTTTATTAAAAAAATTGATATTAATAAAAAATTTCTCTGCTCTGAGCAAATTATAATTTAGTTCGGAACGAGCTGCAAGCAAGTCCAGGTTATGAGTCTGTACGGCTTAAGAGGCTGCTTATATCGTAGTTCAGCCATATCTCGGAACTGTATATAAAATATCATGGAATTTTTACTGAAATTCTACTTTACAAAAGCAAGTTTCTTACCTCTTCTTCTTCTTCAATGGCGTAGACACCGCTTTTGCGATTATATCCGAGGTTCATACTCACAGTTCAAAATTATTAACCACCAAA